TTTGTGTGATTACAATTGTCTGTATTTTTCTCGTGCATTTATCGTATATTTGAGGACCTCCTTTTTGGTTCTGTACACTAACGATTGATGGACTTCACTTTTGCCAGAAATGTTCACTCTCTTATCTCAAATGTGTAAATTGTCTACATTAAAGAAAGTAGACATGGCCATGTCTACATTAAAAAAAGTAGAAAAGTATTCTATTTGGACGTACTTATATGATAATACGTTGACATAACCCCCTGGCACCGGTAAGCTTGGCCCCTGTAAAATTGGTGCCAACGACCATTCTGCGTACTCTGGGTTACTTGGAGGGATGCAAAAAAAACAAAAACAACGCATTTAGGTGAGGTATCAAGTACACCTACAACGAGTGCCCCTATAGGGGATCACCTAAAAGGACTTGAAAGTTGTATGTTGTTATAGTGGATGTGGATACTGCAACTTTTGTTACGTACACCAGTTGGTATGAAGTTTGTTACACAAAGTAATTTCAGAAACATTAATTACGCAAGGAGGTTTGTGTAAAAGCAGTAGTGCCAAGACTTAAACATAACATAGTGTTACGTTGACATTTTCTATGAAGTTGCGTAGAGTAATTTTCAGTTGATTATTTTATATGACTAGTGGTAGTCTTAGGCTTACGGATAAGCTAAGAGACCCTCAGGAGATTTTTTTTTTCAAAAGAGGATCAAAAACAAGAGAATAATGAATGTTTTTTATTTTGACATCATAAACTTCGCTGTTAAAGGAAATCTACAATTTCTAAACCGGTGCTAAATTTCGCGACTTTATCATTTCAGATTTAAACAACCACGTGGCTGCCGCCGCCCGCCGCCTCCTGAACCCCGGGTAAGCCTTCATTTACTTCTTTTATCCCAGTTAATTTAAGTACTCTCCTTTATTGGTGTTTTTAGAATGTTCTCTATGTTGAATTGCCAGGGCCAGCCTTGCTTTTCAAACTTTGCCTTTTCTCCGACATAAATTTGAATTCTTAATACTACCCTGTGAAAAATACTCGCAAGGGTCACGGCAAAATTTTTCATGATAAAAGTCGTGAAATTAAAATTTTGAAATTGTAAAGTTACAAGCACTCCCGATCGACTTGGAACTGACCGACGAGCAAGAATGGGCTGCCGTAAATTTACGAGGATATTTTGTGTAAACGCCCGGGGAAAGAAGTGCTACAGTTCCCTGATATTTTCCATTTCTCTTTGACCTTCAAATAAATTTGAATGCTCAATGCTGAATGTGCCCGAGAGCAACCCCGACTTTTTAAAACTTAAAAGCAACCGCAAAAGCTTCTTTTATGGACAGCTGTTGATAAACTGAGTCGAGGGGGCACCAATTCAAATCCTCTACAGGAAAATGGACTATAGTTTAAACAAATTGCCTTTTTTGCCAAGATGGTTTGAGTACTCGTCAAGAAACAAGACGACGACCTGGACCTCGGCTACAATATTTTATGATGATATTGTTTTGATGTTGATACATCTGCGTCTGGTATCAAAAACCCCAAAAGGAAGTATTTCATTAATGGTGCAACCACAAAGTTACTTGGGATGTCGTTAGTGACAAAGTTGCACTGTCATTAATATCAAAGTAAATTGCATTCGTACAATCAAGCGAAACTACCACAAATGCACATTTCAAATATAAAAGTGCTTCAGTTACTTTTTAAAACAGCAGCGTTCGTATTACGAAAAATTTGTTACTTGTAGCTTGTAATGTACAAAGGCCTCGGAGCAGCCATAATTTAAAGGATTTTACTCCATTATTTCAAATAGCTCCAGTTTGTAAATGACAATTGCAAGGTTTTTCGTAGTATGTGTACAATTTTTTTTGTATTGCAAGTTCCCCAAAGTTTTTGAAATAAGTTATGAAGAGCAGTTCGAAAGCAAATTCCAGTGTAGTACCCCTGTCCCCTCCTTTGCCGATCCCCTCTCCGATGCTGTCTTTCCGTCCGCCCTGTGCTGTGCACGAATCTCACATTACTGCGGAGTGGGTGCGTAGAGAGCGCCGTGGAGGTAGGCAATGCGTGAACACCCCTGCGGCCGGGTTGCCTACCTACGCACGCACCTAAACGCACCGTGCCTCTATGCATTGAAAATAGAGTTTTGTTTTCGGTCCTCTTGCCTGCCTTCTATCCCCAAATCCCCACCCCCTTTTGCGCAATACCCAGTGCAAAAGTTTTGGCATATCACTAAATGTGTGCAGTGCAAAAGTTTTGTGAAATCACAAAATGTTTTTAGCAGTGTTAAACGGGACTTACCGTTAGCCGGTTCCAGGCTCGTTTGTGCGCTTTCTTCGAGGGGGCTACCACTCGTGTAATCCTGTGTACAGATGAGGGTGTAATCCCTACGTAATCCTTATCTATTCCGTGT